GATAGAAATCCAGGCCTGAAGTTGGCAGGATGGTCTTTACCATAGACATTGTCTTCATATAGAACCTTTTTTGAAGAAGAAAAAAATACTGTGCAGTGTTCACCAGATCAGATTTTAAGTTGAAGAATTATGTACTTACACATAAAGTGAGTGTGAAGTCAATTGATTGAAATTCTTCATTTTATGTCTCTTTTGCATTAGCATGCCTACTTTTGAAACTGTCAATGTTTTTCTTAAAGTTTAAAGAAAGTACACATGCATGAAAGTTAATCAATCTATAAATAGTTATATAAGCAACTTATTTTTTTTCCTGAATGATTTCATTTTTATTAATAGTTTTGATTTAATAAGTTTTCATTAACCGTCTAGAACAAGGTAACTATGCAAACCCTTTTCTTCCTACTGGGTTGCCTCATCCAGCTGTAATATGAGGATTTTGTACAAGGAACAGAACCAAGTCTAAGATCTGGATGCTGACTGTTTCACATAAAGTTACATATATTGTTGCCTCTTTGGAGGAAGCTTAATCCTGACCACTTCTCTTCTTGCTTTGTCCAGAACACTCACTTTCCTCCTACAGACTGTTTTCTGTTGTCTGTGGGTCTTCACTAGAACATCAACACTTATGGTGTTAAAACTGTTGGCAGAAACATTAGGCAGAGCTCAGGAGAGGGGGAGAAAAAGTTTTAGGACTCAGAGGGGCTGGGACACTATGAGAACACTGACCACAGAACCAACTAAGCAGGACTCATAGAGGCTCACAGAGATTAAAACAACAATCCTGGAGCCTGTATGAGTCTGACCTAGGCCCTCTGCATATATGTAATGGTTGTGTAACTTGGTGCAGTGGGAGTGAGGATGTGTCTCTGATTCTTTTGCCCACACTTGGGACCCTTTTCTTCTTACTGGGTTTCCTCATCCAGCTTTAATATGAGGGTTTGTGTCTAGTCTTATTGCATTTTTTTATCCCATGTAGAACTGATATACCTGGGAGGTCTGCTCTTTTCTGAAGGGAAAGAAATGGAAGGGAGGAGGGGTAGATTTAGGAAAGAGGGGAGATGTGGGGGAAGGACTGGGTGAGTGGAGGGAGGGGAAAATTCAGTCAGAATGTGATGTATGAGGAAAGAGTAAATATAATAAAAAACTGTTGACAGTTTTGCTTGTTCACTTATCTCAACTTTCTAGAACAATGCCTGGTAGGTGAAATTTACAGCATATGCATTCCCAAAACTATAGACACACAATCAATGCTGAATAGACTCACAATCAATGCTGAGTAGACACATAGTTGGAATGACTCTTTCTCTTGCTTTTATCTGGAATATAGACATAGTGTTGAGCCAGATCCACTGCCATAGGAAATGGCCAGAAGAATTTCAGGATCTCAAGTCTTTGCCTCAAGGACAGCACTCAAGTTTGGATTTTTAATACCCCTCCAAGGAACAAGTGTCAAAAGCTAGGCCGATGGCTCATGGCATCATTGGAAGGCATTAGAATCTTGAATAAGGACTCTAGCACAAAGCAATTAGGTCTTGGGGGACGTGCCAGAAAGGAGACAGTGAGATATCAGCTACTCCCTCTTTACTTTCCAGTCAGCATAGATGACACACAAGAGAAAACTGGACAATGCATGTGATGACGGTGCACCACCAGCAGAAGGGAAACTTGACACATTTATTTTATAGAGGAGAAGGCAGGTTTATTGTATGCAGCTGAACAAGGAAACACGTCTAGCTAATGGCAGAACAAAGTGTTTATAGGGGAACCTGGGTGGCTAGAGACATCCAGGAAGAGGAAACTGCGGTTGATACTTTCCAGACTCTGTCAACATCCACACAAGCCAGGGAAAGGCTACGCATTCTCATGAGTCTGCTGCACTGGGGTCCTTGGCACCGGCATTCTCATGTGAAGAACACACATTCACTCTGGACTTCATCCACTGCCCGCACTCACCACAGGTTCAAAAGCCATGGACTGACCAACCATGGCTAAAAATTCAGATACTGTGATTTTTCTCAGGTATTTTGTTACAGTAACTGAGAGCTAACTTATACAGACACAAAAACATCAGTAAGTTGTCAATCTTATTAAGTAGGAAAAATTTCTTTATGTAATCCAAGGGTCTGGTCCTTTATCTGTTCATTCCCCAATTTTAAGTTGAACCCTTGCCTGCAAATGTTGTTTCCAAATTCTATGGGCAAATGGCTTTAGCTAGATGTAATCATCAGAGAAAGTAAGGAAAGGGGAATTCAAAGGATTATCACCAATTTTCTTTTCTTTTCCTTCAGATTGTATCTCCAGCATTGGCATTGTCTTCTTTGTGATCCCAGCTAGCACCCACAGGCCTTCTTCCATAAGTCCCAGCACCCATCTTATTAAAACTGTACATCTATAATACATAGGTATAGTGAGGCAAATACAAACCCCTCTTGGACTGTTATTTGATTCTTGGAGTGATATTAAGTCAGATTTAACCATAGTTTAAAATCATACCATGAAAGTCTCATGTTTTGTCCCTTAACCCAGGTTAGCAAGGAAAATATTTTATCTCCTTCCTGACTGACATTCCATCTACACACATCTGATTCTTGAGGAGGTAGGAATGGTAAAAAAATTATTTCAGAATTAAAGATGGGTCTAATCAACTTTAAAGTGCACTCAGCAAAGAGACCCACACACCCCCCTAGTTCCCTTGTGAATACATTCGTGTTATGTGAAAATACTTTGCAGACATTTTCAGTCTCATATCTATTGTGGTTAAGCCAAGGAAAGGATTGCAGTTTTATCAGAAGTTTATTTTGTAAGGCTGACACACAGTTCTGCCAGATACAGTATCCATCTCTCTACACTGCGCTGAAGCCAAAGATCCCCTTAAATAAAGCTCAAGTCCTCAGCTATGCAGAAATATAAACAGTCTTCTCAGTGTCATTCAGAATTATCTTTAGGGAAAAAGGAATATTCTAATATTAAACAGCACTGACCTCTGTATGAGGAAGTTTGAACATGATAGAAGAAATTCTGAAATTTCTTCATTAGAAGATAAAACACTGTATTTTCACACAATACACATGCACATGTATTTTATGATTACTTACCAATATCCTCTCTGTGGACATATGTGGAGTCTATTTATATTTAAATAAAGTACAAAGAATGTTTCCATTCTAATGAGACTACATTTTGTAACATGAAAGATCTGTCAGGTTTATTCAGTTCTACCAGGGCAGTGAGCTCTTCCCCAACTGAGGATATGGTATTTGTGGTTTTCTCTAAAGGCTAAAGCTAACCAATGATAGGGCCACATGTCCAATGGAAACTTCCACAGATCAAAGCTGTGCTGCTAGCTTTGTCCTCAGGAGACCAGACTAGTAGAAGGGATGACCCATTCCCACATAGTTATCCCAGATCCCCAAGCCAAACAAAATTATTCCTATTTCCATGTAGAATTGTGATCTTAAAGAAAGCATACTGTGTGTAATTGGAACTCTACATTCTTTTTCCGCCGGCACCTTTAGAAATCCAAATCGTATCCCTCCAGGGCAGCCCCTACAGTGCAGTGATGGATAATTTTGAAGGAGATGCCACCAAGAGAAGAAGTTGTAAAAATTGCCTTTTCTGAAAGAACAATTTAAAGCCTCCTTCTGGAAGGAATGTCTGTTTACTCTCAGGCTAGTTGTGCAAACAGCATGATCGATCATCTCCACACTTGTTTTTGTCTTTTCACTTACTAAGATGTAGCCTCATCGTGTGCTCAATTGTACTGTGACTCAGGTTGTCACAGAATATAAGAAACTCTGAAGTTTCTGTTCCCCCTTAAAGAAAGACCATCTTCTCTGAAGCATTTGAGCCCTAAAAATTTTAACATCCTGGTATATAGAATCAGCAAGTAACCCTGATACTGTCTTCACTCAAAAGCAAAATCCAATATGCTTGGTATATAATATGTGCTTTATGATAATACCCTCATGCAGCAAGTAAACAATACAATGAATGCACATAGTGAAAAAATGATAACAGTATTAAAGAACATACCCTTTTCATTGTGGCATAGTCTAGAATTGTTGCCTTCACTCAGAAGCAGAATCCTCTGTGAGTTCGAGGCCAGGCTGGTTCTACAAGAGCCAGTTCCAGGACAGACTCCAAAGTCACAGAGAAACCCTGCCTCAAAAAAATAAAAAATAAAAAACATAAAAAAGCAGAATCCCCCCAAATATTTTAACTGTTATAATTCCCTTTTTGAAGGTTTCATAATACACAGGTCTTTTTTTTATGTATATGGATGTTTTGTCTGCATAGATTTCTGCACACTATGTGTGTGCTGTGCCCACAGAGGCCAGAAGAGGGCATTGGATTCCTTAGATCTGTAGTTATGGATGCTTCTTAGCCAACACATGAATGTTGGAATTTGAATCTGGGTCTTGATCAGCTAATGCTGATTATCACAGAGAACCTGGCATCAGAATAAAAAGCCCCCTGTACAGACATTGCTATAAAACTCTCAGCATCTCCCATCTATTCTCATAAGGGTTCACTACCTTTCCTTAGATTTGTTTGCTTTTCCATAAGTTCCCTTTCTCTCTATCCCTGCCCCTATAAAGATGGAATATTATCTCCAAACCCCAAAAATCTTCTCCAGTCACCTTTTTTTTTTCTGCAAATTTCCTCTTGTATTTTTGCTAGTTTATTTTTCAGGCCCACAAATGCTAAAGCTAAATAGGTAGAGGGTAAGCTTTCTTTTCGGACAAGCCTCTACTAAGGTGAGAAGGGAATTCATCTCTGGTCATTACTAGTGTTGACATTAAAACAGAGCTCTCGCTCCAAAGGAATAAGGGATCATTTAGTCTGAGCCAACTATGAATGACCGAAGGTCTGAAACTTTCCAGTTTTCCCCGAATAACACGCTCCATGGTTGAAGTAGGCATATGAACTTTTACTTGCTAACACATTGGTGGGACACTAAGTAAGTGGGCTACAGAAAATTGGGTGTCTCTCTTCTATAGGTTCCAGATGCTGTAGCAGTCTTAGCCTTTGGGTTGGTGGAGACAAGAAGTCTGCTAAGCTTAGCAATACATCCCAGGAGCGTTGCCTAATTGTCACAGAAATGTGAGGTCCGGTGCTGAGGTTGGAAGTAAACGGCTAGTGGAGATAGCCTGTGAAAATGTTGGCGTCAGTCTGCATCCTGTCTCTCTACAGTCACAATACTGTGCTTAGTCAAGGTCAGTCTTCAGGATCTCCAATGCAGATGTGGCTTCTTAGAGGTCTTTAGGTCCACCTATGGATTGGGAGGGAAGAGGATGTGCCTCAGTCTCCAGCTAGAATTCAACAGTTTATTTCTGGAAACATAGGAAAGTCAAACATTGGTTCTGAGATACACTTTGCCCAGTTAACATTGTTGAGGTATCCCTGTGGTGTGTGTAAACAGAGAAGTCACAGCTGAGGTAGAAGTCTGGGTAAGGGTTCAGACTCCTTAGTCACAGCTTCCTGTTCCTCTTTATGTTGCAGGGAATGAGCAAATCTGTCTCCCATCTAAGAAGCCGCCCTTCTTAAAGAATGTTCACTTCTTCCCCACCTGCCTCATATGTAAGGAACCCACAAGGACCTCAGTCTGCCCAGACACAAAAGTCAGAAAGAGCCATTGCCGCTGGTAATGTTTACTCTCTGTATTCACAGCTCACTCTTCCATCCAAGCAAATCCTTCCCGTGGGAGAAAGGAAGACATACGGCACAAAAAAATCTGTCAAGGTGTCTCAGCAAAACACCCAGATGTGTGTTTAACAGAGTCCTTTAAGTATGGCAATGATCTATTAAAGTGCTGGTGTTTCAACTCGAAACAGTAAGATCTTTTAATCACCCCTGCCCCTGCCCTCTCGGGTCTCACACACTTCTACAGAGACAATAGTGTGAAGCACCGTGAGCTTGAAATATTGGGTCTGTGCCTGTTCTTAGAGACCCTGTTCTCATCATTTCCCTTCTTGTAGAAGGGAGAATACTCAAGAGCTGATCTTCTCACCATGAAGACAGCATCCTGCATGGCAACTTTGGGATCTCATATTGCCCCCTAAAGTTGGGTAAGGCCACCTTCCCTAATGAGCTGTCCCATGTCCCCACTCATCCCTGCCCACCTGCCAGGACTCTGGTCTCAAAGCTTTTCCAAGAAGTAAACATCTGGGGGGACCTTTTCCTGCCCCACCCCTCATCTTCCAGAATGTCAGCAATAATTTGGGTTAACAAACCAAAGACAAGCCCTGGTTTACCTGGCTCCTGCCAGAAGCCGCAGTGGCCTTTGCAAAAGCAGCAAAATTAGCAGCCAGGGAAAGGAGGGAAGGAGCTCTGGCCCTGGGTGGAACTCACATTCATCTCCTGCTACTTGTTTATCCTCAGCCCAGAGAAGGGAAAATGAGGTCACCAAGTAGTGCTGCTTCCCTTGCCACTGGGCACAGGTTACCTGTGACATGACTTCCGTTACTGGACACATTCATCTACTGTGAAACCTAAACTCTGGCGTGTGGAAGGATTACGGGGGAGTGTGTATCTCTCTCTCTCTCTCTCTCTCTCTCTCTCTCTGTGTGTGTGTGTGTGTGTGTGTGTGTGTGTTTGCCACCACGCTCTGTTTATTCATGCAGTCTTGTGCATGCTAGGAAAGCACTCTACCAGCTGAGCGATTTCTACCTGAACCTAGGTTCAGGTTCTATTTTTTTTCTTCAGTAGAGCATTGTTGTTGTTTAACTTCACGTTGGTCCAGTCAGCAGCAGTCCTTACTTTCTAGTCTCTGAATACTGTTCACAGATTGCTCTGATATTTAAACTGGGGATCAGAGGGACGAGGTATCTATGTCAAGTTTCGCAAATGGTTAAGTTGTGTATTTCATTATTCCAAACTCAGATTGCTGGTTTTCTGGGTTCATTTGCAAACCTTTAACATGTCTACCTCACCAAGACCTTTATAGATTTATCTGTTAGTGGTAGATGGAAGAGGATCATTAAAACACCCTAGCACATCCAGTGGTAGTGGCTTTAATCCCAGCACTCGGGAGGAAGAGGCAGACGGATCTTTATGAACTCGAGACCAACCTCGTCTATAGAGTGAGTTACAAGTCAAGGCTACACAAAGAAACCCTGTCTCAAAAGCCAAAAAAAAAAATTAAAATAAATTATCAACAAAAACAAAACAAAACAACAACAACAAAACTCCTAATATGAAGAAGATCTGAGTTCTTGTCTGGAAAACTAGGTATATACTTGGGAAATTCTGGAAACTGGCATCCCCAGGAGACTCTAGTAGTTCATCGATGAAAGTAAAATCTAAACTAGTCTCTATTATTTTATAAAAGGTTGCTTTCTGTTTATAAAGTACTATAGAGCAGTTCCATGTCTGCACTACTGTACATATTGGATGTGTTTCTCTCTCTCTCTCTCTCTCTCTCTCTCTCTCTCTCTCTGTGTGTGTGTGTGTGTGTGTGTGTGTGTGTGTGTGTGTGTTAGAGGTGTCTCTGGCATAGACAAGCTTTAACAGAAAGCAGGATAGTTAAGAATAAGCACACTGTATACAAAAGAAAAACTGGAGTGTTTTGTAGCTTTGACAAACATTGTGGCCAAACAAAATGTTCTGCCAGGGGCAACCAGGGTTAGCTCTCTGTCTTCTCAGTACAAACAGGCTATATTTTTCAGTTCTAGGTCTTCACCGCCCAGTCTAAGTCACCGTGTTATGTAGTTCGGCAGCCTGGTCAAACCAACAGTTTTGTTTGGAGTCTGAGGAAGGAAGAGCAAATTTCAGAATCTTTCCAGAGAAATCTTTAGTCCTCCCCCAGGAGTTTCTATTCATAGAGGATGGAGGCATATTTTCTTTGAAAATTAAACGGCAACATGTTAAAGCATTCTTCAGTGGAGTGAGGAATTCATTAGACCACACTATTAACAACTACCGTTAACTGAAAGTGAAGGCACTGTTCACACACAATCTCTTTAAACCTCCAGTGAAGGTCATAACAAAGCTAAGAACTGTTGCATTTCTGACACAAAAACCAGAGATCAGAAACCAAACCAATTTGTTCAAAACAACCTTCTGTTAAGTGATAGAACTTTTCTCTTCCCCATTGTCTTGACCACTCTTTTAGAAGCAGTAGAAATTAGACATAGTTATCCAGATGGAATCAATGGTAGTTGGCACTAGACAGCCAAGAAATAAACGGTGAGTGGCTAAGTCAGACAACAGCTGTAGTCTGTCTTTATCCCAGATGCCCAGCCTATGCTTCGCTCGCCCATCAGTAGGAAGCCCACTAACTGAATACCACCTTCTCCAGAAGGAGGAGGAGCACAATTCCAAAAACACAAAACGAGGTGGGGGGAGAGTTTTGGGTTTGAATTCTATCTTAACCTTGACTTCTTTGTTTATTGGACAAAACTGACAAGACAACAAGACAATCCTTCCAGGGGAAGACAAATCCTTCTGCTTTCTTCACGTGAGCTACCTGATATGCAGGAAGCTCTTACACACAGAAGACGAGGATTTCTGGACATCACCAGGCTAAAAATGTCTGTTCTGATGCACTTTCTTGCTTTCTATTTCTCAGTTATCTGCCACTTTTACATTTGCCCTGCTAGTAAATATTTTCATTCAGTTTGTTTTCCTGCAACATATGACAATACCCTATGCAATGCCTAGGTTTTTTTTGTTGTTGTTCTTTCTGGTTCTTTCTGAATTTAAAAATCAAAGTAAAAGAATGTATTCTATTTAGCAATGATTTTTTTCTTCCTTAGAAGCATGAGTTGTAGTGAGGAGACCATTACCTCAGCATGCACAGACATTATTAAATTACTCAGGTCAGTAAAAGCAGTGCAGAAAAGGCTGGGGGTGGGCTGAGAAGACGTAAAAGAATGGACCTCTTGTTGGCTCACATACGACATTATTTAGAAACAGTTTATTTTGCTAATGTGACCAGATGGTTCCCAACCATATATAAAAACACCCGAAATCATAGTGATTTGCTTGACAAATGTCCCAAGACCAGTTAACCCAGTCTGAAATGTGTGTGTCTATCTGAGGGCGAACTTCATTCAAGGGCATCATTGTCTGCTGAAATCAAGCAGCCCCTGGTGTTGGTAAAATTCCAACCTTAAGAGGAAAGGCAGTTGGTCGATCTGGAAGTTAATAGGTTTGAATTTTTACTCTAGTACTTCCTGGAGAGGTGAAAGGAGCAGAGCCCTTCAGCCCTTCATTTGACCAGAAGGCGTCATCACTCAGAGTTCTGAGAGGATCTAAGAAAATAGGAAAGAATATGGAACAGAACCAGATGTTTGGTAAAGTAAATATTAGGCAACATCTCCGTTGACTCAGTACATGAACTTGTGCATGCCTTGAAACTTCAGACCTTCATTTCAAGAGGACAGATCATAAGAGAATAAAAGGAGGTACTAGCCTTGATGTCAAGAGACATCTTAGACAAATTTCACAACTTGTTTCTTTTAAATTTTCATGTATATATTTATTCTCTCTGTGTTTATTTATTTATTCAGAGAGAGACAGGGGCTGGCAGAGAGTGTATGTACACACCTTCTCCCCTTCCACCAGGTCAGCCCAAGGATAGAACTCAGGTCCCCTCGCTTGGTAGCAATCACCTTTACTCACTGAGCCATCTCGCTGACCTTGATTTTTATTTTCTTGATATGCAGAATATCTTCCCCTTTCTACTTTTAGGTGGCATTATGTGTCATCAACTTTCATATTCTGTTCCTTTTTTATCTGTTGTTAAAAATAGAGCCATTATTAAGCTGGTGTTTGTGTTTTCCCCAGTTGTCAACTCCTGGAGGGAAGGATAGACTTCGAAGCATATTCCAGGGAAAGAACTACAGCCAGGCTCTGCAACTCTAGTCTGCTCTGTGCAGGGACACACAGCAGCTCCCCAGCAGAGTGACAGTCGTGGTGAAGGTGGTTAACTGGTCCTGGAAAAGTGTCACAACCTTCTCAGACCGTGTGCTTTTTAAGCTTATTGAAATAAAAGACCGATGCCCCTGTTTAACTCCAAGAACTACCTTCACTTGGACAGAGTGTGAGTCATAATTTCTGAACACTTGAGACATCAAAGAATGTCAAGGCCTATTGCTTCCATTGGTACATAAATTAAAAAGACAAGGCTCAGGAAAGCTGGAGTTCTTCGGGGCTTCAAATCAATCTCCTGGGTGATATTCCAGCACATGGGATAGACAATATACATAGAGCTTACACAGCATAGTCCATAAGAAAATATCTCAGATTTCAACTTCATTGAAGAGTAAATGCTTAGGTGATTCTCCTTATGATCTTCAATTACTAAAGGATAAAAAAGAAACAATTATGTCTAAGTAAAACATCACATACTCTTTTCAAATTTTTGCTATTTGTGTGTGTGTGTGTGTGTGTGTGTGTGTGTGTGTGTGAGAGAGAGAGAGAGAGAGAGAGAGAGAGAGAGAGAGGTCTCTGTCTAAGGGTGAATAAGGTACATGTGTGCTATAGTGCTTGTGTAGAGGTCAGACAAATATCAGGAATCCGTTCTCTCCTTCTACCTGAGGTAAGACCTCTCTCACTTCCACCATATTGTGTACTCCAGGTTGGGTGATCCATGAACCTTTGTGCAATTCTCCTGTCTTTTTTCCATCTTCCTAGGCGTGCTAGAATTTCAGGTGTGCACCACCACAGACAACCTTTTACATGGATGCTGGGAATCAAAGTTGGGTCATCTTGCTTGTATAGGAAGTGCCTTTACTCACAGAACCATCTTGCTGGTCCCATGAATACATTCTTATTAAAAAAAAATTTTAATGCTACAGATAAAGCTTAAGTCCTCTTCATC